CACAGAATGAAGAAATTAAAAAGAGAGAGAGAGGTGACTAAACATAAAATAAATCTAACCTTACAGGATGAAATGTCACGGAATCTCAGGATGGTAAAGCAATACTACTTTGAGTATGCTAATAAACCGGGGGCATTGTTAAATTGAAAAAAGAGAAGGAGAGCAAAATCATACAAACCCTACAGGATGAAATTGAAATTCCACACCATCTGGCGGAAGAAAAACAATCCATTGCCAAGAAATATTTTGCAGCACTGTACACTCAGGATGAGATACCAGAAGAGAGGATCAAACAATACTTGAATGAGAAAAATTAACCTACAATTCCAGATCTCACAAAGGAAACGTTAAATGCTGAAATCACAATGACTGAAATGAAAGAGGAATTAGTAAACAAAAATGTAAGAAATCACCGGGATCAGATGGGATCCCCGCAGAATTATACAAGGAAATTCAAACACCATTGGAACAGCTAATGTTGGATGTGTACAATGAAACATTAGAATAAGCAAAACTCCCAAATTCATGGACAGAAGCCTATATTACCTTTATTTTAAAAGAGGAATGTTTGGTTTTATTGTATTTGTATAAATTTGTTTAATAAAATATTTTTTCTAATAAAAAAAGAGATTAAAGGGTTGTAAACAGAAAAATATGTTTGATAAATAAATGTGTGAAATAATCATCATCATCAAAAAAAAAAAGAAAAAAAAGTTCCCAGAAAAACGTAAAAAAAAATCTATTTGCAATAATGAAAATTTTCTCACATTATTTTGGATCCAAGCATACTTATTAAAAAAGGATTTGCATTGTATTTTAAACTCTAAATTGTAATTTAAATTGTATTTTAAATTGTGTTTTAAACAAGGTGACTTTCAGAATACTCTTAACATAAAAACTATAACAAGAATAAATTATTTATTTTCTTAACACACAATATAATTAGACATTTTCCATTATAGATGGTAAGGTAAATACAGCGAAGTCTGACAATATGTGTGAACTAATTTTTCCAAAAATTTTTCCAATAAGTTGCTGTTCATCTGTTAAATGAGCTTAGAGTAGTACAACTGTTATGGAGAGGATGAACCACAGTAAGAGGAATTCCAATGAACATGTGACATTTTCTCCAATAAAGTTAAGATTTCCTATAGTTTAACAAGCAGATACTGTTTGGAGTTACAAGATAATAAGTTCTATTTTTAAAAAGGGCTAAGACAGGTGTCTGCAATCTTAAATACTCAGAGCCCACAGAAAATGCCAGGAGCCACAAACCTGGGTGGGCGTGGCCAACTTGACATCATTATATCCCACCCAGTAACATGACCCCCCCCTCCCAACCACACCTACCCAGGTTTTTGTGGCTTCTGGTATTTTCTTTTCTCTGGGAAACAGTATCTGTGCGTGTGTGTGTGTGTGTGTCTCTCTCTCTCTCTCTCTTTCTCTCCTCTCTCCCTCTTTCATCTTTCTCATCTCTTTTTCTCCCTCTTTCTCCCTCTCTCATCTCTCTCCCTCTCATCTCTTTCTCTCTCATCTGTCTTTCTCATATTTCTCCCTCCCTCCCTCCCTCTCGTGTTTGTCTGTGTATTCCCTCTTGAACTATTTCCCAAAACAGGAGAGGGTTGGGTTTTTTGTTTTACTGATACTGTTCTTTTTTCTTCTTTGGGTACTTTTTACCATATGATTTAAATCAAGAGTCATTTCAGGTTCCCAGATAAATGAAGCTTTTTTATCCTCCTGCTGTGGCTTCCTGTCAGCTGAACCCAACAGTGGCTGGGCCCCCCTGGCCCTCACTTCCCACTCACTCTTCACCTGCCCTGAGAATGGGCATTGATATAATTACCTGAGAATGCCCTTTCTATCTACGCTGCAAGAGAGTTGAGGAATGGGTTAAGCTCCTCCTTCTGTCACCATAGAGCTGAGTCTGTCACTATAAAAAAAGCCAGCCCCTGGCTGGCCCACCCATCTTTTAGGCAAGGATAATTGACAGACGTAATGTGTCTCTAGAAGATAAGCAAGAAATTAATTTCACCCCTCCCCAACCATCAAAACCAGACATATAGGGTGGGGCTGGACTCTCTTGCAGCATCATCCATGCTGTTTTGAGAATCCAGGAATGGGACATACCAAAGCCTGAATGTACATGGGAGGGCCAACATCTAGGCCAGTCACTCTGACTGAGGAACCACCTGTTGAAGCACCCTCTGACCAAACGATACCTGGGCTGAGGCAAATGAATCCAGGTGATAATGCCATATAAATGGTGAAACCGGAGCATCCATCAAAGGCACTAGCAGTGGCCCACATTATGGAATCATCTGTCATGAGCAGAAGGGCAAGGCCCTGCCCCTGAAGAGGTGCACTGTTCCTTCACTAAATCAAGGAAAATTAGTGGGGAGGGGAGAACCTCGGTATGCACCATAGCATGGAGAACAACGAATCAGTGTAGCCAGATGTGGTCGCCTGTAGTTCTGGGGCCATCTCCTCAGGGCTTAGTTGTACAGTGACCAAAGCCTTGTGTAACAAAGGCTTGAATAAGGAAGGCCTAAAAACCCCTGCTTTCTGGGAGCCTTGGCTCTGATTTTTGCAACAGCCTGTTAGCAGAAAGGCCTCTTTGTCTTTTCTTCTTCCTTAAAGGGGCTTGGAAGTTTTGGTGTCTTCGAAACCTTTGGGGCCAGGTTGGGGGGCTTCCCTCTCCATCTTGCTAACAGAGCAGGCACCAAGGGTGCTGTGAGCTTCCCCCACATAAATGCTGCTTGTTGCTAAGGCCAGGTGGAGTCAGGAGACTGTGAGGCCTCGGGGAAACACTTTTCCCTGAAACAAAATGGCCACCCGGCATTTCCAAAATGGTCACCCACCACGTGGAGTGGCCTGGGATGGCCTCACCACCTTCTTCGCACTTTAGACTCTTACTAGGCCCCAAATGATCAAATTAAGGTGGAACAGTTGAGAAGCAGCAGGAACAGAGCTCTGGAGTAAGCTCTGAAGTGGCTTTGCCAGTGGTGGTAGCAACCAGGTTTGTGATCAGTGGAGATGCGTTGGAGTTCTTCTGAATGTTCCCTGGATCTGGAGTCCTTGCACGGCAGCACCGAAGCCTCGACGCTGTAGGAGAGCAGATCCCTGCTCTCCTGGAAACAGAGATCTACTGCAGCCCCAGGAGCTGGATTTTAAAATTATTTGCTGTCTCCTTTGTTCAAACTTTCTTTTAGCTGGCTTAAAGCACTTCTTCCAGAGACTATGCTCTCAGACAAGAAGCTGAGCCAAAAGATGGACAGGCCAGCCAGGGGTTGGCTTTTTTATAGTGGCAGACTCAGCTCTACGATGTCAGGAGGAGCTTAACCCATTCCTGGACTCTCGAGGCAGCGTGGATGAGAAGGGCAAAGGTGGTGGATGGAGACTTGCTCCATATTCCAGAGTGGGAGTGATGCACCCCTCTACTTGCCTCTTCTTCCACTCTTATTGGTGCTGCGTGCACCTCAGCTGCTCAGGGAGACACACAACTTCCTCTCCACCCTGAGACACTGGCTGGGCCAGCTGCAGCCAATGCTCATGTCATAATGGACTCCAGAAGGAGGGGACACAGTCTCCTCCATTGTGAAGCATGCTAAATTTAAGTGTGCTGTGCAAGGCGCTGCAAAAACAGTGAGCAGGACATGGAGAGGTGAGAGTAATATGGGGAGACGCGTGACTTTCTCTCTGTCCTGAGACGCTGGCTAGGCCAGCTGCAGTTGACATCACCGCTCTCACTGCCTCCATGGCCTGTTCGCTGTCCTTGCAGCACTTTCCAAGCAGAGTTAAATTTAGTGCGCTTCATAATGGGGGAGATGGCATGTCCTCCTCCCGGAGCCCATTATGATGTAGAACATTGGCTGCAGACGGCCCAGTGTCTTGGGGTGGAGAGAAAGTCACACATCTCCCCAAGTGACCGAGGTACACACAGCACCAACAAGGGCTGGAAGAAGAGGCAAGTAGAGGAGCACTTAGCTCCTGCTCTGGAATATGGGATGAGTCTCCATCTATTGCCATTGCTCTTATCTTCTCAGGAAAGAGTTGGAAAGTAGGGTGATGGGCGGGGCCAGCCAGTGGTGGGATCATCCGACAGGGAGCTGCAGGAGAGGGCCCAAAAGTCCGCATGTGGCTCTGGAGCCGCAGGTTGCTGATCTCCAGGCTAAGATTTCCACACACACCAGTTCCTTCCTTTTATTTATATAACTATAGATTTGTCAGGTGATTGTTTAAACAGGGAGCAAAATCAGGGAGGAAAGCCTTGAAGGGATGTTCAGAGAATTACTAGGCATGAAACAAATACACACATGAAAATTTGATGATAAAAATGTACTATCTATGTACATTTTTGTCTATGGTACAAAAAAAGTGTTAATAGCTCGATTAATAAGGCTTTGCAGTTCTTTGGATACAAAGGAGAGCAGATGCTTTAGAGCAGATATCCCCAATCCTCAGGTCATGGCACACTACTGGGCTGTGGCTCATTTGGAACCAGATCATGGAAGCAGTGGATGAGGAGCATGCATGTGTGTAGTCCAGCACTTGTAGAAAGGCAGCTGTGCATGCCATTTGCGCAGAACCATCCATTCTCCCTCTCCACCAGTCTGCAAAGCTGGAAAGGCTGAGAAATGCTGTTTTAGAGTATCTAAGGGAGCTCTAGAGCATTTATCAGCAACTCCTTAAAGCAGCTGCATCTTTTCCCAGAATCATGCAGATACAGCACATTTTCTGGAAAAATATCTTTGGATCTAAAGAACAATCTGTACATGCCCCATGTAATGCAAAGCAATTTGAAATTTGAAAGGCTGAACATCCTTATTACATACAGTCTTTTATAAATTGAAGCAAGTACTATAGATCTCACTTAACAATTCCTGTCAATAGCCATTTCAAGTTATGATGGTACTGAAAAAATAATGACAAATCCTCATAGTTATGACCGTCAGTGTCCCACAGTCATATGATTACCATTTGAATGGTTTACAACCAGCTCCCAAAAAGCAAAGTCAATGGAGAAGCTGGCAGTCAAAATGAAAGTTGTGGTCACATTATGTTTTGCTTAGCGACTCACAATGACTTAAGAAACAATCTGAAAGCAATGTGTTAAATTTGCAATAGTCATATGTCACTTAGCAATCTCAGAATTTAATAACAACAACTATGGTTGTTAAATGAGGATTACCTGATCAGTCTTCTGGGCTAGTGCTCTAGATCAAAATCTCTCTTTCATTTATTATTTCCTCAAATAACAATTTCTGTTTTCATTCAAGGAGAAAAGAACCATATCTTTTGAGTACAAAAATTAATTAAAGGGAAACTCATAAGAGAAATAAAATAAGCTTTTGGAATCACGATTTTATTATTTTATGTATTTAATGGTATATTTTCTATTATTTAAAATACTAATCCTTCACCCTCAAATCCCTATTTACAACTCTGTAATCCCTTAATTTGAAGTAGAAATGCTTGAAACAACTACATCTACTTGATTCCAAGCTCTTACATAAACCACATACTAATCAGAATTAAAAAAAACATTTTATTTTCTTGCCCTTAATAGCAAATTAATTTTGTTTTTACAACAAAGTCATGATTTTAATGTACAAAACTATTATTAAAGATGCTGCATCCTTGAAAAAGAAACTATGTTATATTTAAATATCACTATGACATGTAAGAACAGAAATTTAACAAATTTCAGAACATATTCTAGCAATATGTTTCAAACAGAATATGCAACAAAACTTCTTGCAGTGATGTCAAATGAATATTTATACTTCTGGTCCTTCTCCTCCAGGAACCAACTGTTTGGAGAAAAAAGAAGTAAGATTTTGTTTTGGAAGGGAGATAAAAATAAATATAAAATAAATATAAATCCTGCAGTCTCTCACCACTGCTGTGCAAACCCCAGCACGGCCTTCTCCCTTCCAAAACTCACTTGACCTGCTATTGAAACACCTCCTGGTTCTTTTCCAGAGAGAGAGTGGCTCTTCTCTACATTTCTCTGCCTTCACTGTAGTGCAAGGGTCGGTGGGCAAGTCCCACTTTACTTTTTCGACGTGCTTGCCGCTCACTTACAGCAATTGGGACTGCTGCAGGCGGCACTGGAAGCAGGTGTAGGCAAAGACACAGGGCTGCTCACTCGTGTCCAGCAGACACTGCAGGCGCATTTTAGACAGCTGCTGCAAGCACATTTCAAGAAAGAGCTGGGAAGCATTTCAATATTGGCGGCAGGTCAAGCTGGTGTTTTTTTCAAATCACATCTCAGCATGTTTTGGAAGGGAGAAGGCTTCCATATTGCCCAGGATGTGATCTGAGTAACACCTGGCTTGATCTGCTACTATATTAAATGCTTCCCTGAAAAGGAAACAAATGGGAAGGGCACCCAGACTCGCAGCACTTTGTTTTGATTCAGGTGTTCCAGCTAGCTTGGAACAGCTTTTACATTTATATGCCATGTCTCCTGAGAGGTCTCGCAGAGAGGCAGGATAGCCCCTTGTCCTTAGCTTCTCCCTCAGCTTTCTCCTGTGCCAGCCCAGCCTAGCTCTCCATCCAGCAGCTAAGGATGAGGGGCTTGCCCCCCTCTCCATGAGGCTTCTAAGGGGTTTATCCACCTCTCAAAAGACCTCTAAAAGAGACAGAGTGTGCGAATCAAAACAAAGAATCGCAAGTCCAGTCATCCTTTCTGCTTGTTCCCCCCCTCTCTCATCCTCTCTCAAAATTGCGGGGGGGGGGGGGGGCATCAAGGAGATGCTGGCAAGACACTCCCAGGGAGATGAAAAAACAGCCCTGCTGCCACAGCCCAGGCAATGCTGCTAACTTGGAAGGGGCAGCTTTTACATTTGCATGCTGTGTCTCCGAAGAGTTCTCATGGAGAGGCAGGTGAGCCCTTCGTCCTTAGCTGCATGGCTATTCCCCCCTCCCCCACTTTTTCTCTTTTGCTTCAGCTCAAGCTAGGCTCCATATCCCACCAAGGAGGGAGGCCAGGTTTAAAGGTGGGGTTGGGATAAATCTGCAAGAAACAGACCCTTTGGCTCTGGGTTTCCGCAGGGCTGGGGAACAGCGCCAAAGAGGCAGCCCTCGAGTGACCGCTCTCCCTTTCTCTCCTTCTCCTTGCTTCTGAGGTGAGGGATGAAAAGCTCCATCGTTCCCAGCCACCATCCCACTGTCTGTGTTTATGGAGCGTGCTGCAGAGCTGGAGCATCAGGTTGGATGGTGGGTGCAGAGCGTGCAGGGGCCGTGGCATGATGCCATCCCTGTTGCCTTGCAGCAACAGCACCAACAAGTAGAGAGGTGCAGGGTGGGTGAGAAGGCATGTCTGGTGGGCTGCATCATGTGCCTCCCTCACCACCACCCCCTGCTGGTGTTGCCGCTGTGAGGCAAAGTAAGTGGTGGGGCAATAATGGTGCCATGCTGCGGCGCCGGCACTCTCAGCCCCCATAATCCAACCTTGTCCTCTAGGTCTGCCACACTCTCCACAAAGATAGATGGTGGGACAGCTGGCATGCCTCCCTCCTCACACCTTTGCATGGAGGGACTGGGCTTGCGCAGGCTTCAGCTGCTTCTGGACACCACTGACCCACACACACATGTTCTTTGCCTCTGTTGGCCACGCTCAGCTCCCTACCCCTGCTAATGATGTTCTAAACTAGGGCTTATTTTTTGGATAGGGCTTATTTTGAGGGAAAACACAGTAATAGAATTTTACCTCCCTGAAGCAGGAATCCTGAACAATGCCAACATTCATTCTTGCTCCAACTTGTTGTATCAACATACTCTATTTTTTCTAATGGTATTATTTTCCAAATGTTGTTCATAACAATAAAAATACCAGTCTTTCATGAGCCGTTTGAACTGATAAGTAACAATTTAAGGAAGAAACTACAGAACACAAATTATTTACCATAGTTATATTGTTTCCATTCAGCAGAATCTGATCCAGCTTTGTGATTCTTCTTCCTTCAGGTGTTATTTCACTGTTGAGCATGATTGAAACAAAGAATATGTTAACAAAAAAAGAAAACTATTAAGATTGTTTTATTAAGATATGCTTCATCAAAAGTTTAGCTTTTTAATGAAAAATTAGTATTAGTGTTTTATTACATAAAACACATTTTCATTAATACCAAATTTAATGGTCCTTTTCTAAGAACAGGCTGAATTAATACAATTCCAGCCTTATTAACTCTGGCATGCATTATGCAGTATTTTACCTGCCACACAAATATATCTATTTGATCTAAGTGGAAAGACTCAATGAAGCAGCTATTTCCCATGTTAAAATCATCACTGTGTGCTGATGTTGGATATTCAGGCTCTCCTGTCTATTCTGTTTCACACAGTGAATTAAGTCATAATATAATGTCTTAGTAACTTTGTGTGATACATAGACACTTAGCCTGTTTAACATTGTTCATGGTTTGGCATATTATTTGGGGGTAATTTAACATATTTTATTGTCTGGACTTGATAAAAAAATGTTTGGCTTAGTACAATATGCAATGCAAGTCATGATTTTGCTTTCATGCTCACAGAACAATGTGGGAAGCAATCCTGCTGGAACAGTCCCAACACAGCAGTAATAAGATAAACCAAACAGGCCCACTGGAAGCATTAGTAGTACACTTTCCTTTTTAACAAATACCAGTATTTTGAATGTATTTACCAATTAATACTTTGTGCAAAAAGTCATCATAGAAAATACAATTATTAACATTACAGAAACAGAATAAATATTCCAGAGGAACCCAACAAACCTCCATTAAAATTAATCTCAGGAAAGAAGCATTAAAAAAAACTGTATTCCTGAAATAAATACATTAAATCATGATTATATAGGAAAGAAAAAAACCTAAACATAAGAAAAAAAATTAAACCTTATATATTTACCCCATTTAGTTTGGTCAACTCAAGCAGTGAATATAACTAATATTCCTGCCTCCTGTTTTCCCACAGTAACAATCCTGTGAGGGGGCTAAGAGAGTGTGACTGATCCAAAGTCATTCAGACAGTTTTCATGCATAAAGGACACCTGGAAGTCAGAGTCTCCTAGTGCTTAGGTCAATGTAATAAATATCTATATAGAATTACATCAAGAATTAAGCTTATAATTAAATCACACAGCAATATACTGTGCTATCATTAGAACCCAAAGACTTTGTAAAAATAGTGAACTTCAAACTTGGATTCATTCCTTAAAATCAGAAGACTTTCTGTCCAGTTACATGTTTTATATTCCAGGATAGTCATATTTCTTAATTTTAAAATGTATTTCTTTTACTTAATAGCAGTGTATAAAAGAACAAATTAAACAAGAATTGTTGGGATAAATAAAATAAACAGAAAAAGCACTATTAACAAAAAAGTTCAATAGTTTATATTTTTCATATTTTACAAGAGCTGACATATTTGTGACTTGCGATTAACATATTAAGCATAATCTGCACTTGCTTATATTTAAATTTGATAAAAGTGTGATCCTTAAATTTACAAGTTTATTATTCTATATTTATTAGTATTTTTTCTAATAAAACAACTGAGACCCAATCAATTAAGAAATATCCAATCCTGAGCAATAATTAGTTTTTCTACAGAAAAGTAAATAGAGCAGCTTTTCATTTTAAAATAAGGTATTTGATTTATAAATAAATACAAGCATAGCTAAGAGCATTTGATTATATGTTGTTATATTAACATATAATTACCTTTACCTTTGTGCCGGAACAGTACTAATTTATCAGACATCCACCATATATGTTAAAATTTCTCTTTTCTACAGCCACTCTTAATGTTTTAAATAATGTATGAAGTATATACAGTATGCTTGTTGTGGTCCGCTGGCAGCCTGCGGAGACAGCAGCAGAATTGGAAGGTGGGGACAAACATGGGCAAGTCCGGGAGTCTGGGGAGGATTTGGACGATGGTCCTACATCCGATACAGAGATGGGGACAGAGCCATCTGGGAGTTATGTGCTGACTCCAGAAGCCTCCAGAATCTGACTGCAGCAAGGCAGAGGAACAAGGGGAGCCTGTTCCCAGTGCATGTGTGCAGAGCTGCCAGAAGGCAAGAGCAGTTAAGACAAAAGGGGCAACTCAGGAGTAAGGCTTGGAGGTGATTGCCCTCCCATAAGATATAAAGGAAGTGCAAAGGGACAGGAGCCTTTGCAGGAAGCAACATTGTTTGCTCTGGTCGGTTTGGAACCTAAAAGCTCCATGGTGAATTTGTGCTCTGTTTGGTTTTGAAAGACTAATTGGTACTTTAGTCGTTGGCAGCACTTCAAATAAATAAAGGTGCATTCTTATCAGACTTCTCCCAAAGAACTTTGGGACTATTTATAACTGGTTGAGACTCGTTACGGGCTGTGAATGACGATAATTCACAGCCATTGAACTAAGGGTTTTGGATTTAACATGTGTTTGTTGGTGTCTCAGGAAGCCTTGGTCAGAACAATGCTAATCTAACAGGAGCTAAATGTCATCTTCAACTGCAACTCTCAGGCAGAGGTGGAAAGAAACCCCCTTGTTTTTTTACAATTTTAGTTCAACTATTGGCTTGCCTAATAAAGCAGTATCTCAAAGTATTGTTTAAACCAGAAGGGATATCCCTATCTCAAGTTGCAATACCATAACAATCTTTTAACCTTTAATAATATATGTACTAACAATTCTCTAAAAGATTCTACATCATTCAACAGGAAATCCATTCCATCTTGATACTGTCTACCCCCAATTTCATTGCCTGCAATTGCCTGCTTTTGTACTCTCTTGTAATGTTGATGTTGTTCCAATATTTCTGTTCTCAATAATTTTTTTTAACTAACATGCTTCTTCGTAGACAAGATTCCTCAAGATCAGATTTCCTGAATTTAAAAAATCTTGCACTATAATATTGAGAAGGACAGAATAGAATGTAGTTGGCAAATATATATTGTATTTTTTGAAGTATAAGACACACTTTTTCCCCCCTAAAAGAGGGTGAAAATTTGGGTACCTCTTATATACCGAATGTAGTCCCGCCCACCTGCCAGCCCCCACCCTTTGGCCTCTGCCTCCCAGCAATTTGCCTCCTTGCAGCAAACAAATAGCCAGTTTCAGCTTCAGTACAGCCTGATTAGCACAAGTAGCTGATTGTCGGTTGGTTCGGGCTCCCAACCATCAACTGTTTCAGACTGCAGGGACTGCCATTGCCTATTGCAGTCTCCATGTGCCCCATTTTTGGCCTACGCATCCCATTTTTGGCCTCCCGCCACCCCATTTTCCGCCCATTCCGATTCCTGTTGTCTGGAACAGTGGAAAATGGGGCACACAGAGGCCAAAAATGGGGTGCCCGGAGGTGGCAATAGGCAATGGCAATCCCTGCAGCCTGAAACAGCTGGTCGGGAGGCTTTTTTTTTTCTTTTGTTTTCCTACCTCCGCAAAAGTTAGGTGAGTCTTATACTTCGGAGCTTCTTATACTCGAAAAAATATGGTATGTAAACTTTTAAATAGAGAAAATATTACGCACTACTTTTTAAAATATGTATGAAAACATAATTAGAACATGCTATTCAAAATAATTCTCAACCAATACCGAAAGTTTATTAGCTAATAAATATATTGTATCAAAGAAATTAAAATCTACGATATTAGAGGAATAAAAGGGCAACTTTAGAAAAGAGCAAAAGTAGACAATTGCTGATCCAAAAAACAAACACAAAATCTGTTGAAGTTATAAGCCAGAGAAGCAATACTTACAATTCAGTGACATCTTCTAATACCATGTCTGGAATTTGTTGTTAAGAAAAATATAATAAGTCACCACAAAAGTATTAACTTTTCTGCAAAATAAATTAAATTATTTTTATAATATCAAAAATATTAACTTAAATTTGCAAGCCTTGACAGCCTTTCAGCTGCTCAGTATATACAGTATTCAGTCATGGCCTTGAAATATTTTATATATTCTGTTAACTTTATAGATATTCCTGGACTTACAATTGTTCATTCAGCGCCTGTTCAAAATTATGTTAGTGCTGATGAAGGAACCTACTTCCTCTATCTAAAGTTCTAACAGCTGCACTGTCCCCACTCTCATGACTATGAAAACACTGCAACTCCCCCTTCCCATTATGGGCCAGAATGCCTTACCCAGTTGGTGCTGTGCAGAAATTTGCTGCAGGCCACAAATCCTTGACCAGCTAGGTCACTGTTGCATGGACTTCCTCTTCCCACCCCGAGGCCTCAGCCTTCTTTCTTCCCACCATGCCTGGGTTACTTACTTTCCTTGCAGCTGCTGACAGACAGAACCAGCCTATTCAAGGCACAGCCAGCTAGAAAGCTCACAATTGGCTAGAAAGCTCACAATTGGCTAGAAACAGCTGGCTAACTTTCTGTTCCTGGACAGCCTTGAGAAACATTGCCTCTCTAACCTTGATGAAGCCTGCCTTGTTCTTGCTGGCCAACATTGGCTAGGCGAACCTGTCAGCAGCTGCAGAAGAGAAAGATAAACCTGGAAGTGATGGGGCAGGGAGAAGGAATCCTGGGAGTGTTGGGAGTTGGAGAGGGGGAGGCCATGCACTGGTGGCCTAGCTAGTTGAGTCCTCTCAACTCATATTGCCATGTGCTGGTGGGTTATGGGCCTCCCCCATTCCTTAAGGTATCCCATGCATGGTCACTTGAATACTACAATGGAGAGAACTGGCCTTATGATCATTGAGCTAGGTGATTATAAGGTGTCTTGCTTAATGACCACAGCAACTTACAATCAAATTTCCAGACTTATTTGTGGCCTTATGTCAAGGACTTCCTGCATATAGAACTTCCAAAACATAAGAATTTCTCACAAAAACTAAATACTCAACAGATATTTGCAGATTATTTCATCTTAATTTACAAAAACTCTTTTCTAGAGAAACAACAGTTGAAAAAATTAATTTTAAAAAGTAGAGAAAAGCTCCCAAATAGGTATAGAAAGGATACTGACAAAATCATCAAATCCTAGGAGCGTGCCAACAATTTCTTTATCACTTTTCATTACAATGTGAATACGAGAGCCTATACACTTGTCTACCAGTTCTGTTGCATAGAAAAACAGATATTAATATTTTAAAAGAAATATTATCTCCCAGATAGTGTACATTCAAAACACTGCATTTAAAATGTCTACATCGTGCTACATCAACTTTTAATATAAATGCTATTATTATACAGTGGAACCTCAGGTCACAAACGCTTATGTTCGCGACCAAATTCGGCGACGACCAAAAATTTGAGAAAATTTTTGCTTCTCTCCGTGAACAGATCTTCAGGTGCCAATCAGTACAGCCACGGTGATTTTCCCTGCCATGGCGATTTACCCTTCCGCACATGTGCAAAACTGCATGCATATGCGCTGTCAGTCTCGCTTCTGTTCGCGACCAAATCGGGTTTTGACCAAAGTCCTGGAATTGATTACAGTCGTGACCCAAGGTATGCACTTATACCTTGATGTATTTTCTGGTTGTCCGGGAAAGAATGGATTTAAAACCAAAAAAAATAAAATAAAATCAAACGTTTCATTTTTGAATTATACACATTTTTGTATAATAGTCATAAATTACAATAAAAATGACAGCACAACAAAATGGGTTACAATGTAGGATGGCAAAATCGGAAATACTCTCCACTTGACCATTCCTGGGATTGCTACAATAGGGGGAAAATGCAAGCCATACTGTTGATTTGTTTGAGTTCTCAAACAAAAAAGACTATGCATTCAAAATTAATTAAATAAGAATGAACTTCATGGGAGTTCATTCTCAACTGAGCAATTATGCAAACAGCAAAGTAACAGTGATACACGAAACTGCACATAACTAATTCTTTCCTCAAATATTTTTTGCTTTGTAAGAGGACTGCTGCAAAACTATTTACAGCTCTGTGATGAAGGCTATTTCATTTGTGGTGCTGCAGTTCAGATGAATGAATCTTTTCCTTCATGTATGAGCCTGTGTGGTAAGTGTATATAAACAGAGAGGGGAAAGGAGACAGTATGACAAAGGAGCTAAGGATAGTCTTATAACTTAGGAATCTACCCGTTCAGGATGAGTAGGAACAATGCTATTGCCCACCTTATTCTTGGAAAAGAATGAAAGCAACCAGCCTATAAACTATTATACCATATATGCAATTTCTGTCCATGACCATGAGCTCACAAGCAAAGCTTCTTTTCTTCTCTACCAATCCTCTACTGGGAAGCTATTATATATTGAAGAAGTGCGTTTATAGTGTTCTACTGATTCCCTTTTAAAGGTTGCAAAAAGTTGGTTATCAAAGAACCAGTGCTTCAGGCATCAGCTAGAGCTTCAGTTGCTTTGTTTTTTTCTAACAGAAAAAGACAAAAGGAATGCCAAAAATGGTTCATAGGGAAAATCTCCTTCAAAATGTTCAAAGCTGTTTAATGTGGGTTCCTTTTAGGAGCTGGATGAACCTAGACAGTATACTTTCAGAATGGAGTTGTGACTTTAGTCATAACCAATCCAGCTTCCGTGACCCAAATCCTTATTTAGAATAGGACACTGTTATAACACTCTATTTTCCTTACCCACACTATTCATAAAATCCACCCAGGTACAAAATGTTAAACATTATTCCATGAAACCGAACAACATACTCTTGTTCCAATTATTCTTTCAAATCTTATCTTTCTCACATATCACTATATTGATTATCAAGAGATTTTGCAAAAGGAAGAAAGGTTATAACTTCAAGCACAAGTTTATGAATAAACTCGTACCCCATCCAATTGGAATCTCTTTTATATTTCAAAATACTTTATTGTGTATGCTTATAATATAAAATGCAGTATATTTGTAAAATGCTTCCCATTATCTTTAAATACAAAACTTGATTTCAAACCTTTACACTATGCCTACAGGGGAGAAAGCAATTAATTGTCACCTATAATATAAACTGTCCTCTATTGCTAGAGGCTCTTGAGCCTCATCTGCCTCAAACCTTAGAATGAAAACAGCAGAATGGGAGAACGATTCTTTTTATCTGTGCAGTTTTTTACTTTACTTTCACTGATATACCATCCCATTCTACCAACAGCCTGATATAATCCAAATATTTCTTTTTCGTTCTATCTCTTGCTTAGAAACCACTTCAATTTCAGCAGCTTTGACCAACTTGGAGCCCTTCTGACGCGTTACTGCGAGAATAGTCAACATTAGGCCCATTGGCGGGAGTTACGGAAGGCTGCATCCTATTAAAGGGGACCCATGCCCATGAAAAGCAGTGCTCCTCTGCTTTCGATCCCGCATCACAAGCTGGACTTTTTCTACACCCTCTGTCATTTGCAAAAGGCACTCAGGCAAGCCTACTCTAATCTTCCGATTTGCACACCGGGCCACCCATACACGCGGGCATGATTTTCATTACCAAGCGGCAAAAGCTGGGACGGATTGGTAGTCACGTTGGCCGCCATTCTTCAAGAAGATCTAGCCAATCAACTCCGCTTCCAATTATTGGCGTTGGTGCGAGGCTATTGGTCGAAACGGGGAAGCGGGAGACAGTGAAGCAGACACTAGAAGTCGAAGAGGAATAATCGAGCATCCAGCGCGAGGAAAGGCACAGAAATCCCCGCGACAAACTCGTTGAATAGCTATCAATGCCCATTGCATAAAATAAAAGATACAGGCTTTAAACATAGATGAAATTTACATCGCGGAAATGAGTAATTGTTTTATGTCTGTTATTTGGGAAATAATTAGAGGGATAGAAAATGGCTGCTGATTCAAATCTAAATGTTACGGGGGGCGGGGAATAATCTGGCGAGTATATTTATATTATAGACCACTCCGGAGAAGTGTAATTTCAGAACATATTCTAATGCCAAAAGAATGAACATGTTTATAATTTGTATTATTATTCCTGACTACTGCTTGCTAGCTGTACTTCACGAAGTCGGCATCCAACTAGAAATTCTACGTAAATTTTGGCTTAAGAGAAAGTTTTGCGGCGGGAGGGGTTTTTTTCAACAGGCAATAAGTAATACTTACCCTGGAGGAATTGTTAATATGCCGTGTTAGCCACTGTGCCCTTCTAGCATCATCTTTTTGAAGTATTTGCATCATTCTGTATAATGATCTATGTTAAAACAGTATTCTGCATTTATCCCTCATTTCTTGTCCGTTTTTTTATCTCAACTCTTGTTGACTACTTGGCATATCTCCCATACTCCCATGGGATCTTTTATCTTCTTATCTCGTTCTTGTTTAAGTATTTCTTCTATCCCTTTCCCTTCTTCATTCTTTTGAATCTTCAATACACCTTTCAATGATCTTTTCCTCACCTCAGAGGTGTCTTTCTGTGTATCTCCTTCTAACTTTTAATCTCTTAAAAGTATAATTCACCATTTCTGTTTCAGCTTTGACTGTCTCTTCTTTTTTATCTTTTTGTATCATTTATCATTTTCCCTCTCCTGTCCTTTCCTCTGGTCTTTCTATTTTATTTTCTGTTTCCTGAGTTTCATGTTTGTTGTTTAATGTCTTTTGGTCATAGTTTCCTGGTCTCATAACTACATCATGTATCAATTCTTTTATCCCCCTATGGTTCCTTGTCATCATTTCCTGCGTACCTTGGAGGGTCAATAATATTTCTTTTAGTAAGGTATTTATTTCTCCTTGCAGTCTCATTTTAACTTATTTTAATAAATTTAAAATTTTACTCCGTAATCTGTCAGAATCCCAATATCCTAGTTATGTCTCACCAAGATAGCCAATATTAGAGCAGTTCAGACAATCACTCCATTAATTAGTCCCTTAACAGTGTAGGAAGGGAACATAAAGAGACACACAAACCATAAGGAAAACTTTTAATCCCAGAGATAAATACAGTAGGAATGGCCAGGAAAAAAACACAGATCACAGTCAAGTGCTATCACAAGAAGCTGCTGCTCCAAACATTGAGATCAGGAAGTAACCTCAAAGTCAGCATAAACACATTAGAATGAGGAACATTGAAACCCCTTATAGAAACTAATAGCCCAGAAGGGAAAAGACAGAAATAGAGTAATTAAAAGATTCAAAAATAGGAAAACATAAAGAAATACAAAACACCTAAGGCAACAGACCACGACAACAAAGGGAAGCAAAGAGGGAGACACCCAAGATCGATCACGAACACCATACCAGTTTCAAAAGACACTTAGGACAGATAAGATTAAATTAGAAATCCAATCAAGCCCTAGCAAGCACTCCCCATCAGCCTTACGAATAATTCCAAATAAGGAATAAATCCATTAAGCACAGGAATCACACGAGGCACAAACCATTAAATATAATAGAAACAAAAAAGCTATTCTTAAAGGAAAAAGGGTATAAAAACATCCAGTTACTCACAGTCAGATTGTTAGCCCAGGAATCTGTGTCCTCGCTACCACTCATGCCACTTGTATCCCTTCCTGCAATAAATAAAGGAGGTCTTGCTTTCAGCAGCTGTTTCCATCTCAATTTCTAGACCGTGCCGGCAACCCTTCCCAGCGGGAAATTCAAACCTAGCGGAGGAGATTTCACATTAAATTCAATAACAGTCTCCACTTTGTTTCATAATTCCAAACTACTTCATACTCACACATTGTCCAACCTATTTATAATCCCCAAGGTTCTAATGAATGTCTTCACAGTCTGTCTCCAAGCACCAAGTATAATCAGTTGCAGGTGTTTAGTCCAGCCAATCTATCCTGCTCAAAACAATTTTCACTTCATCCACTTTTTCTAGCTTTATATTGCCTTTCATGGCCAGCAGGTGTCACTGTTACTTTTTTTCTCCACTTTTGCTGCAAATAAAATGTCTCCAAATAAAAATATTTTCCAATAGTTTCCCAAAATTCATCAGGTCAAGGTGGTAGTAGTAAGAGTATAATCCAGAATTTTGAAATAATTTAATTTTTAAAGAGCTAACCATTGCAAGTCTGTCCCTTTTAAAATTACTTCTGACTGCATTTTTCTTTCTTTACCAAATTTGACAGTAGCTCCAGGTCTTTAGTCACTGCTATTTACCTCCATTGAGTCCCACTTTCCACAGGGGGTGCTTTCCCACAGGGAAAATTCCATGGCAAAAGTTAGAAAAATTCTTACCCAGACTGAGCACACTGTTACAAGATCTTTTCTTTCTTCACTTCCATTTCAGCTGTTTTCACGGCTTCCGTTCAGCCATAATAGCCGTCTTCTTTTCGGTCAGTTCAGGGAGTTTTCTTCGGGTCAGTCAAGAAGACTGCTCTCCTCGCAACCACTGAAGCATCACCTCTACCTTCATTACCCCTACAGGGTGACTTTCGGCCTGTAAAGCCTCCAGACTTGAAGAAATCGGCAGGACTTTGTGAAGCTGCTGCTCATCCGCACCACTTCACCGCTAGGTCCACTGCAGAAACAAAGAAATGCTGAAATAAAGAATTCAGGAAATACTGACTTAAGAAAAAATATAGTTGTTGTTCCTGCATCTATGCTAGAAGTCTGCAACCTTAAACACTCAAAAGAGCTATTTGAATCCTTTCCAACAGAAAACACTGGGAGCCAATAATTTAACAACCGGTGTGACCGGGTGGGCATGGCCAACTCAACATCACTCACTCCCACCCAGTCACATGAACCCCCAGCCACTCCTATCCAGCTGGTCATTAGAGCAGAGAACCGGTTCTTAAATTATTTACTACACCTGGCCCCGGCTCACCCCTCCCCTCCCAGCCAGTTCTCGCCACACCCGGCCTCAGGTGTGTTGTTCACCTTTTTCTCCCTCTGTGTCTGTCTGTCTGTGTATCTATCTCTGTCTCTTGTCTCTCTCTGTCTCTCTGACACCCCTGTTAACGGGCAAATGGGCCATGGATGCATTGTGTCTCTGCATCGTAATGGGCTCCAGGAGGAGGGGACCCATCTCTCTCATTGTGAAGCGCGCTAAATTCCATTGTCCTGCACAAGATGCTGTGAGAGCAGCGGGCAGACCATGGAGGTGGCAACTGCTCCGAGCCTGAAGCCACTTATAGCTTTGAGCCCAAAGTGACAGGAGGCTAGAGCTGCCTTGAACAGAAATGTACCGCAACGAAGGTAGAATGCTGTTGCCACGCAAAGGCAAGTACAGGGGTAGTTCCCTCCCATTCTGGAATATGGAGCTCCAACCCCTGCCATCACCCTTAGTTTCTCAGGCCAGGTGAGGAGTGACTGGGAGGGGAGAACCAGCCAGTGGTGGGATCAGCCGACGGAGCATAGCAGAGGGCCGAAAGAGCTTTATGCAGCTCCAGAGCCACCAGTTGCAGACCCCTGATCTATGCAGAGCACAATGGATTTTTCACAAGTAGTGTAAATGAATTAAAAACATTCATGGAGTTTATATTAATATTGTCATTTCCTGAATTATGAAAAAAAATATTCCAAAATCATTAAAAACTCAATGAAATCTTGTATGTCTAAATGGTATAGACACATACAGCAATCACACTTCAATTTATATACTACTTTACAGTGCTTTACAGCCCCTCTCTAAGCAGTTTACAGAGTCAGCATATTGCCCCCAACAATTTGGGTTCTCATTTTACTCACCTTGGAAGGATGGAAGGCTGTGTCAACCTTAAGCCTGGTGAGAATTGAACTGCCATATTGCAGGCAGCCAGCAGCCAGCAGAAGTAGCATGTAGTACAGCACTCTAACCATTGTACCACCGTGGCTCATATCCTAATACAGTGGAACCTCAGGTCATGAACGCTCCTGCTCACAACCAAATCGGGTGGCGAACAAAAAATCCACCTGATTTTTGAATCGGGTGATGATTCAATAATCAGGTAATAAACAAAATTGGCGCAGAAAGATTCCCTTTCTGTGCCAATTTCCCCTTTGGCACTATTTTTTTTTTACTGAATGCATGCGCAGTCAATTGTGCTTCTGGACATGACCAAATCAGGTCACGACCGGAGTCCAGGAACGGGTTAGGGTTAGGGTTCCGCTGTATGTGGAAGAATTCTTTCACAAACAAGACAATTTTCCTTAAGCTATAAACATTACTGGTACATAGAGATGTACAGTTTAAGAATATTTTCTTTACATGGCTCAATTACACAATGGACTGCAAATTCACCAGTCATATTTTAATAGATACCATAGATAACTTTGTCATTTTTTAACTATGGGCACACTGGCACATTAAAAATGAAATCCTGCTCTCAAAAGTATACAGATAGATAACACACGCACACACATACAAAATTAATTGGCCGCTCCCAGCAAACCACATATATTTTCTCAGACTAACCAATATTTTGATTTATAAATAATCTAGCATTTTTTTCATTTATTTGAAATTAGAACAATAATTATTTATTAAATTTCTATGCTAGTCATCTCCCCTACAAGATGACCCTGGGCAACTTACAAATTGTGGAAACTAGTGAAATATAAACTAATAGTTTAGTTTACTTTATTGTCATTACACTTTGTACAATGAAATTAAATACCATTTTCAGTGTACATTATGACTATGAAAATAAACACACACATCCTTCACATTCTGTACATTGAATTGAAAACCTCTGATATCGCATTAATATTGCACTATACATTAGAATTCAATAGAGATACTGCCCTGGGAGAGAAGCTGTTTTTCAGCCTATTTGTCCTTGTTTTTATTATCTTGTATTGTCTGCCAGATGGTAATAGTTCAGAATAAAAGGGTGCCCAGGATGAGATGGATCTTTGAGAATGTTTTGAACTTTCTTAAGGCAGCGAGAGCTATAAAGCTCTTCCAAAGAGGGGAGAGGGCAACCAATGATCTTCTGGGCAATGATGTTAACCCTCTGGAGTGCTGTCCCATGTGTGCAATTGGCAAACCATACACAGGTGCAGTATGTTAAGATACTTTCTGTGGTGCAGTGGTAGAAAGTCATCAGCAGTTTTTCATTCAGTTGTTGTTTTCTGAGAAGTCTCAGGTAGTATAATCTCCACTGGGCCCTTTTGACCAGTGCTGCAATGTGAGCACCTCAGGTCAGATCCTCTTTTATGGTAACACCCAGAAACTTAAAATTGGCCACTTGTTTTATTTGTTTGTTTATTTGTTTATTTATTTATTTGGTTTGTCAATTGCTTACAAGATAATAGGTATAAGTAAAAACATAGTTATGAATACATGGATACATATAAGAAAAAAAATAAAGAAACAATAGGACAGAGACGGTAGGCACGTTGGTGCACTTATGCCCGCCCCCTACAGACCTCTTAGGAAAAGGGTGTGGTCAATAGTAGACAGTCTAAGGTTAAATTTTTGGAGGTTTGGGGAAGAAACCACAGAGTCAAGTAGAGTATTCCAGACATTGATCACTCTGTTGCTGAAGCTGTATTTCCTGCAATCAAGTTTGGTGCGATTAACCTTGAGTTTGTATCTATTGTGTGCTCTTGTATTGTTATGATTGAAGCTGAAGTATTCATTAACAGGGAGTTCCGGTTTGTCAGGCTTCAGCGACGGCAGGAATTCGCGATTGTGCGCGATTCCTGCTGCGCTCGCCGCCAGAGTGCCTCCGATCCAGCTGGATTTGGAGGCTATAGTTATCCCATAGAGATAACTGAAGATAGGGGAGATCCGGGCAGGGGTCTGGGGGCATCGCAACCCCCTTCCTCAGCCAGCTCAACTCCCTTTTCCAAAGGCGGTGGAGTGGTGGTCAGCAATGGCCACCACAAAGAACCTTTCAGCCAGACAAGTTTGTGCAGGAGGAAGTTGAGAAAGTGAAAGGTTTTGGCTGAACCGGGACAACAAGTAACATCTGAATACCCTGGATATTTAGCTCTTTAAAGGATACATTGTTTCCCAAGAAGATCCTAAAAAGCTGCGGATGAAAGTGGAAAGGGAAAGTTTTTTTTCTTCCACTCTCCTTCCCTACGGAGATAGCAGATGGAAATCGGAAATACCCGCTTTGGCCACAGAAGGTAACTAATTTTGAAAATTAAAGCCAAGGGGACATTAAAGATTTCTGAACATTGATATTTAAAAATCAAAATCTTTTTGCTATAAGTGGGAAGGAAGAGGTAAATGATTTATACTAAGATTTTGCTGGAGGAGACTTCTTGGAGTTTATAAGATCAGCGACTAAACTGCAAAAAAACTTCTAAAAAATCATTTTGGAATTGTGTAATTGAACTCTACCCCAGGAAGAGAAAGTATTAAAAGAAGAAAGTGCTAAATGAAACAGTTTGTGTTGATTTTGATTGCTGGATGACTTTGGGACTTTTGCAAATTCTCTTTTGAAAGACTAAAAGCATTTGGATTGTTTAAAAAAAACACCTCACAATGGCATTATCTGTGGAAGAATTGAAAATAGAATTTAAAAAGCTAAAAGAAGAGAAACAAGAAGGCAAGGGCTCTTCTGGATCTGTTTTTCACTTCTTAGAAATGGCGATTTCTACTTATCAGGAAATACAGCAACAAGAAAGCTGGGATGATGAAGAAGAAGCCATCTTTAATGGACAAACAACTTTAGTTGAGGAAGAAAAGGGAAAAAGGGGAAAGAAAATGGAGAATTCAAGATTTAAAAAAACAATCAAGAAAGGGAAAAATAAGGTGAAAAATCGATATAATGTCAGAAAGCAACAGAAAAGAGGAATACAACAGAGAGGGGAGACTAAGAGGGTGGAGATTGAGAGATGGGGGGGTAAAAAGGCTAGATTCGACAAGAAAGGAGGGGGAAAAGGGAAGAGAGGTTATAAAGGCTTAAAACAAGATGTTAAAAAACAGGGTTTTTTTAGAGACAAAGGGTAAAATACAATTTAAAAAGTGATTCTGCAAAAGTACGTAAGATTGTATTGTATTTGTATTTGAAATAGAGTTAGAAAATTGGAATATTTTATGTGTTAATAGAATATTGTAGGGAATGTGTAAAATGTCTAAGATTTAATAATAGAGTTTAATTAATTTGTTATGGTACATTGTTTTTACTACACTATAAGCTTATTATGTTTTTTATTTTAAAATGTTACATAGAATGTACTAAGCAGAATCAGAATGGAAATTATGTATTATTTTAAGTGTTAAATTTGTGGGAAAGATAGAAAGATGTCATACTTCAACCAGTGATTACAGGAAAAATTTTGTATTAAAGAGAAAAGATAAATAGATAATTGAAAAAGAATGGACAAAAGATACAATGATTTAAATTGAGATGAAGTAAATAAAATAGAATTAAGAGAGTGAAAAGAAGGGAGAAGACATATAGAAAATATAGAATGTTAAATAAGATATGAAATAGTATATAAGGTGAGCATGAATTTGATTTATGTCTGTACAAAAAGATGTAACCCAGGGATAAGCCGCTTTCTAAAAAGAAGTTTTATGTTTTCATGTTCTGTGTTTTGTTTGTTTATGTTTGTTTATTGAGAATTAAGAATGTTGGATGAGAACATATGAAATTGTAAATAAGACAGATGAAAGTATAAGTTTAATGAATAAAATTTAATAGAAGTAAAGGGAAAAATAGTGAGAACTTGGAAAAAGAGTAATAAGATATGAAGTTGAATACACAAGATGCATATTAAATTGTGTTTGTATGGAAATGTGATAATTTGGAACTATGCTGTACTTAAACAAGATGTTTTATTTGTTTTGTTAAAACTTAAGCAGTTTTTAGAAAAGATGTTTTATGTTCTTACATTTTATGTTTTGTTTGTTTTTGTATTGTCTTTGAAAATTAATAAAATTTGTTTTAAAAAAAGTATTCATTGACAGGTAGGACATTGCAATGTATGATTTTATATACTATGCTTAGATTGGACCGAAGGCAGCGTAGTTCTAGGTTTTCTAGGTCTAGAATTTCAAGTCTGGTGGCATAAGGTATTCTGCAACGAGTAGAGGAATGGAAATATATCTTGTGAAATATTTCTGGACTTTCTCAACTGTGTTAATATCAGATACATAATGTGGGTTTCAGACTGATGAGCTGTATTCGAGTATCGGTCTAGCAAATGTTTTGTATTCTCTAGTTAGTAGTGTAATATTACCAGAGAAAAAGCTAAGATTAGGTTTACAACTCTTAAACGCCTTTTTGGCTATGGAGTTACAGTGGGCTCTAGCACTTAGATCATTAGAGAGGAGTACTCCAAGATCCTTGACAGAATTTGGATCATCAACAAGGTCTGTTATATTTTCAGCCTGTATTTTATTTTCTGTTTGTTTGTTTTTTGCCAATATGTTAGACAGAGCATTTATTTGTTGAGATTTGAAGTTGCCATTTGTTTGACCATTCTGATACATAGTCAAGGTCTTTTTGAAGGGTTGTAGTATTGTCTGTGGTGTTGAATAGCTTTACATCATCAGCTAAGAGAACACTGTTGCTGTTAATATAATCACAGAGGTCATTTATGTAGAGTATGAAAAGAGTTGGTCCTAGAACACTGTCTTGGGAGACACCACTGTTGACAGGTACAGAATTTGATAGCGTGCTCCCAATTTTGACCATTTGTTGTCTATTTGACAGGAATGTTTCTATCCAGTTATGCAGGTGTCCAGAGATACCGTAAGATTTCAGTTTTAGGAGTAGTTTGTCGTGAATCAAAGGCTTTACAGAAGTCTATGTAGATTGTGTCTATTGATTTGCTCTGATTGAGTTGTGAAGTCCATATGTTTTTGCAGTGTAAGAGTTGCAGATTACAGGATAGTTTTTTTCTGAAACTAAATTGTTTATTAGAGATTAGGTTGTTTGTCTCTAAGTGGAGGATGATGGATTGGTTAATAATGACTTTACAGGTGACACAGCATAAAGAGATTGCTCTGTAATTTTCAACTAGGCTGGGGTCTCCCTTTTTGAAGATGGGGATGACCATGGTTTGTGACCATAGTTTTGGCAAGGAGCTGGTCCTGAAAGATTTTTCAAAGATTATGCTTAGAGGTTCGGCTATGGCAGTGGATAGCTTTTTAAAATAGGCACATATTCCGTCCGGTCCAATAGATAGAGATGGTTTTAGATTGCGTAGTGCTTTTTCAACATTGTCTTCTGTAAAATCGATATGTATTAGATCATTGTGGTTGTCTGTGGTTTGACTAGGTAATACTGGGCATGATCCATTGCTGTTTACAAATACTAAGCCAAAGAATGTATTAAAGAGGTTGGCTTTAATGGTGTCGTTGTTGCAGTCTTTACTATTTGGTCCTTTCAGGGGTGGGATGGACCTTGAGGGCTGTGAAAATATTTACAGACCCGTCACATCTCGGACATAAACTGTTTCAACTCCTTCCCTCAAAACAACGCTATAAAGCACTGCACACCAGAACAACTAGACACAAGAACAGTTTTTCCCCAAAAGCCATCACTCTGCTAAACAAATACTTCCCTCAACACTGTTCAACTATTTACAAAGTGTACACTACTATTGCTGTTAATCTTCTCATCACTCCTTATCACCCATCCCCTCCCATTTGTGATTGTAGGACTGTAACTTTGTTGCTTGTATCCTTATGATTTATATTGACTGTCTCCTAGTATGATTTGATTGTTGATTGTACCCTACGACTATCATTAAGTGTTGTACGTTTTGATTCTTGATTCTTAACGAATGTACCTTTTCTTTATGTATACTGAGAGTATTTACACCAAGACAAATTCCTTGTGTGTCCAATCACACTTGGCCAATAAAGTATTCTATTCTGTTCTATTCTATCCTATTCTATTGAGTCTTTTAGTTTGTTGTTTACAAAATTGTAGAAAACACAGGTGGAATTGGTGTGTGGAAGGTTTTCCTCTTGTTTAATGTGATAATTGGTGCATTCAGCCTTTATCTGGTGCCATAAATTTTTGTATCGGCTTTTGAAGTTGGCAACGTGACCAGATTTGTTTTTCCATCAAAGTGATTTCTTTTTTGATTGAAGCTTCCTTACTGTTATGGGTAATTTGTTTTTTCTGGTTTTGGGAGTTGTTATTGGTACATATAGTTTGACGACTCTTTTGACGTCAAGTAAAAATATGTTGTAATGGTCTTCTACAGTATTGCATGTTCCACTCCGTCTCCATTGATAAGCAAGTGCTGGATGTCTGATCTGTTTCTTCTATAGTCCACTATAAGCTCCTTGGTCTTACTGATGTTGAGCACCGAGTTATTGTCTCCACACCATGAAAGCAACCAGTCTACAATAGCTAATTGTATTGTGTTACTGATAAATATTGAACATATATAGCAATCTATGTTTGTCTTAAGGTTGGTTTCTGAGGTTCTGATACTATTTTTGAAGAGAGAGTTTAGATTGAGCCTGCACTTTCATGTAACTTTTGTTGAAGTTTATTTACTTAAATTTAAATATTACTTCATAAATTATTTACTTGCTTTTTTATGTAAAAGTATGATTAATATATTGGATTATTTTCCAGATTGTACAGCATTTAAGCTACTTGTGGGTGTTTCACTTTATTATTAGACTGAAACCTAAGCTACATCGGGAAATCTAAGCAGACACCGTACTAACAATGTAGCAGTCTTTGTGAACGAATGCACATCGTTGAATCACACAAGGTCCTAGTAAGGGTAGAATGGCCAGAGTTAGTTTCTGCTCCTTTAAGAACAAAGCACTGATCGATGGTTGCCAGGAGAAACCAACCTGAGGTAATAGGGTAAAGAAACTCCTTCCTGTCATAACATATTTTTGCAGGCAGTCGCTATATTCCTATAGTGAAGGGTCATTTTAGAGCGTATATGTCCTAACATAACCCTTCCCTCTGGAATTAACCCTTGTAGCTTAAGCCGTTTTTTTGAAGATCTCCCGGCACCCGCCTGTGAGTTGTTTTTCACCCTCGAGTCCACGAAAGACTGTCTACCCGAGCGGTCCGACCACCCGTTCCTTCTTCGTCTCCTATAGCTACGCGGTCAATCCGGATGGCTTGAGTAACGACACTAATTCCACAGGCGCTACTGAGCGTGCTCAGACTCCTGGAGCATGCTCAGTGACAGCCAAACTGCAACTTCTGTCGTTCGACGAGTTTCACGCGTTCAGCAAGAGGAAGCGCTCCCAGCCCCGCAATAAACGGCTTCCCGCTGCAGGGCGACAGCGGTGTGGTCTCCTAGATGGAGCGAAGGGCCAAAGGGAATCCCGATCTCTGCATTCGAACTGGTGGCAGTCCTGTGCTACACATCGTGGTGGTCGGTTTCCATCACAAAAAGGGCTGCCAGGTGAGCGGCTGCCAGCTAGACTGGCTTCCTTGACCTATCCTTTCACTCTTTTATGCTTCTTCCCGCTTTCCAGCCATGCTTCCTTACGTATTACATCTCTTCTGGTGCCCGGCCACCCCATTTTTCCTGACACTCATCTTCTATGTATAATACATGGTCTTTTCATTTATTTCCATTGCCCAGCTTTTCTAAAGCTACTGCCTTTCCGCGATTGAGACTACAATATAAGTTAGTCCCAACCAGCATGCTAATAGTGGCTATTCATAATTATAGTATTAACGCATTATGGAGTGTTCTTTACAATTAAACAATTAACCCATCTTACTGTTTCTGTATACCTATAGGCATATTATATGATGAGGTATCATCAAAAATTGCATATACATCTATTTCTAAATGTGAGAGAAAATCTGTATGTGTGTGCACAACTCTACATAACTATACTGTAGAAGTATATAATTAACTCATCCAAATGTCCAGATACCATGAAGCTTCAGGTCACTTATATTTCTGAGACATTTCTAAGTATTTCTAGACATTCTTTTAACTAAATTAAACCAGCTATCAGTACCTGAACACACTTGTAAGTGGATCATAAGCTTCTTAACAGACAGGAAGCAGCAAGTGAAGCTAGGCAGAATCACATCTGATACCTGTACAATTAGCACATACACACACACACACCCCAGGCTGTGTGCTTTCTCCACTTCTCCCTCTATACCAATGACTGCATCTCAAATGATCCATCTGTTAAAATACTGAAGTTTGCAGATGACACAACAGTGATTGGTCTCATTAGAGACAATGACAAATCCGCATACAGATAGAAGGTTGTACAACTTGCCTTGTGTTGTAACCAGAACAATCTGGAACCGAACACACTCAAATCCGCAGAAATGATGGTAGACTTTAGAAGAAACCCTCCCATACTACCACCTCTTACAATACTAGACAACATAGTATCAACAGTAGAGACCTTCAAATTTCTAGATTCTATTATATCACATGACCCAAAATGTACATCTATCATCAAAAACATCATCAAAAAAGCACAACAAAGAATGTTATTTCTGCACCAACTCAGAAAACTTAAACTGCCCAAGGAGCTGCTGATACAGTTCTACAGAGGAATTATTGAGTCTGTAATCTGCACCTCTAGAACTGTCTCGTTTGGTTCTTCAACCCAACAAAACAGACACAGACTTCAGAGGATAATTAGGACCTCAGAAAAAACAATTGCTACCAACCTCCCTTCTATCGAGGACCTGTATACTGCACGAGTCAAAAAGAGGGCTGCGAAAATATTTACAGATCCCTTCACATCCCGGACATAAACTGTTTCAACTCCTTCCCTCAAAATGACACACTAGAGCACTGCACAACAGAACAACTAGATACAAGAACAGTTTTTTCCCAAACACCATCATTCTGTTAAACAAATAATGCCCTCAACACTGTCCAACTATTTACAAAGTCTGCACTATTACTATTAACCTTCTCATCACTCCTATCACCCATCCCCTCCCACTTGTGACTGTATGACTAACTTTGTCACTTGTATCCTTACGATCTATATTGACTGTTTTCTAGTATGCTTTCATTGCTTATTGTACTCTATGACTATTATTAAGTGTTGTACCTTATGATTCTTGACTCTTGACAAATGTATCTTTTCTTTTATGTATACTGAGAACGTTTGCACCAAGACAAATTCCTTGTGTGTCCAATCACACTTAGCCAATAAAGAATTCTATTCTGTTCTATTCTATTCTATTCTAATTTACTTTTATCCTTACAGATTTTTTTAATATAAATTTTTATTGAATAAACATTAAAAACAATTGAAAACAGTTCTTGGCCATCATTTTGGCCATACAATCTATAGTATAAAAATACATATGACAGTTAATTTCCTTTTTCCCTTATGTTATTAGTATAGTACTAGCTGCATAATATTTCTGTTTACGTTGATCTACATTTATATACAATTATATACATATTTACAACCGTCTTTTATACTCATACATTCGTATCATCTCGTATTTGTCCATTATATTTCATTCTCTTTAGTTTACAAAACTTTAGCTTTCATTCCTATAAAGTGTCAGCCCTTTCTTTCTTTTTCCTTGACTCTAGCCATTGATACATTTTACTCCAGACTTCATAATACTCTGTCTCACCCTTACCTTTGATTTCTAAAGTTAGTCTTTCCATCTCTGCACAGACTAATATTTCCTTATTATTTCACTTTCTCTAGGGGTATCTTCATTCTTCCAATTTTGGGCATGCACCAATCTCGCAGCTGTCATTTTATGAATCATTAAATATATTGTTCCTTTACTGTATTTCTCATTAATAATTCCCAGTAAGAATGTTTCTGGTCTGAACACTACTTTCTGGTTAACCATCTCTTCCATCCAAACCTTTATTTTCCGCCAATATTTTTTTGCTTTTATACATTTCCATCACATATAATAATAGGTCCCTATCTCTATATTACATTTCCAACAATGTGGTGATATACTTTTACTAATTTTTCCCAATCTAGTTGGAGGAAGATGCCATCTGTAAAACATTTTAATTGGTTATCTTTATATGAAGTTTCCAATGTTATTTCTTTCCCCTAATTTTTGCCAATAGTCTAACTCAATATTATAAATGAAATTTTGAGCCCATTTTATAATTACTTTTTTGACTTGCTCCTCCTCCATTTTACATTCTAGTAAATATAAAAATATATTCTCTTGATTGTTTTCCCCTCCGTTCCTAATAGTATCTTATCCAATGCCATCAATCCTCTCTGTATGTCCCATTCTGTCTTTCTTGTATCTTGATTGGATTTGTAGGTATGCCCACCATTCAAGTTGTATCCGTTCTTCTTTCAGTTCATGTCTGGATTTTAGTTCCCCTTTTCAATCTAGTAGATCTTTGTATGTAATGACTTTCTCCAGTTTCATGAAATTTGGATGCACTATTGCTTCTAGTGTTGAGAGCCATACCGGAGTCTTCATGTAATTTTGCTGTTTAGATTTTATCCATACCGTAAGTAGAGCATATTTTACCTAATTCCTCTGGAAATACTGGTGGACTGTCTTTCATCCCATAAAAAAGTGTGCCATCCTGATTGTAGGTCATGTTCTTCCAATGTTAATAACCTCCTATTTTTTAATTTTATCCACTTTTGCTCTCAATTTATTGCAGTGGCTTGGTAATACAGCTCCCAGTCAGGTAAAACAAATCCCCCTCTTTCTTTGGCATCTTGCAATAATTTTAATTTAATTCTTGGTTTCCTTCCCTGCCAAATAAATTTCAACATTGTTTTATTCAAATCTTTCTCTAATTTTATTGGTATATTTTGGAAAAGAAAAAGTATTTTAGGTAGAATATTCATTTTTATTGCTGCAATTCTCCCCACAAAGGAGAGTTGCAGATTTCCCCATCTTTCTAATTCTTTCTTTGTTTGATTGGTCAAATTAATATAATTATCCTTTTTAATTGTTATATACCTTGCTGATAGTTATATTCCCAAATATTTTACTTTCTTTACTATTTGAATACTTATCTTCTCAGCCAAATCTTTTTTCTGTGAATTTGTCATGTTTTTTATTATCATTTTAATTTTATCTTTATTTATTTTTAGTCCTGCTACTTCCCTGTACTCCTCCAGTAAGCCTTGTGCCTGATTGCAGTGGTTCCTCTATAATGAATACAAGGTCACCTGCAAATTGCCTGTAATTTGTACATTTCTTTCTTAATATTTAGCACTCTAATTTGTTGTCTTTCCTAATAGTTCTTGTTAACACTTCCAATAATAACGGTGATAATGGACATCCTTGTCTTGTGCCTTTCCTGATTTTAAAACTTTGCAGTACTTCTCCGTTGAGAAGACTCTCGCCTCTTGTTTACTGTATATAGCTTTGATTATATTAATAAAATTTTCACCAAAATCCATATAGTTCAACTCTTTTAACATGAAATTCCAATTTATGTTATCGAAGGCTTTCTGTGCATCAAGGAATATCAATGCTACTTGTTTTTCACAGTGAACCTCATAATATTCTAAAATGTCCCCTTGGTGCTACAAACTCATTTTTAGTGCCCCCCACCCCCTATAAATAGCATTATGAGGAAGATAGTAACAGTAAAATTCAAACTGTAACAATGAATTGCACATTTATTCAAAATCCAATTTAAAAATCTTTGAAAATCCATTTTAAAAATCCTGTTCTGTGGGCATGGCCTAATTTGTGGGTGTGGCTTGGTGGTAATGTGACTGGGTGGGCATGGCCAGGTGACTGGCAAACCAAATACAAATGGTCCTTGCTTAATGGCTGGTTGCTTAGCAAGTGTTCTAATTTATGGCTGACCTCCCCAGAGCTGTTTGACTTGTTTTTGGAGTTTTGACAGCCACGCACACAACCACACACACACACACACACACACACACACTCACACTCCCTTCTAACCCTGCTGGAGCAGGTGGTTGGACTAGATATCTCATTCACTTTCTCTTCCCTCCCTTTCTTTTTTCTTTCTATCTCTTTCTTTCTGTCCCTCCCTTCTAATCCCCCTCTTTCTTTGTCTATTTATCCCTTTTCTTCCTTTTCCATTCTGTCTCCCTTTTTCTTTCTTTCCCTTTTTTCTTTACTTGTCTCTTTCTCTCTCTTTTTCTCTTTCCCTTTCTCTCTCTCTCTCTCTATCCTTTCCCTTCCTCCTTCCCTCCTAAAGCTAGGAGACTCTCCTGAAACAAACACACACACACACACACACACACACACTTCCAACAAGGTACTCACCCGGCAGTGTCACTCATGACAAGTCTCCCAGAGTCCCAGGGATTGGGCATGATTGTCCATTCACGCCCGGTCCCGCATTGCCCGGAAAAGCTGGCAGGCAAGACTTCCAGGTCCAACAAAGGGGTCGCAGGCAGGACTTCACCCCTCGCATTATTCTCACAGTGGCAGGAGGCATAGCATCATGCTCCCTGGTCGCCCCCGGTG